TGGTGGCCTGCTGCCTGACCTTGCTAGGACAGCAGGAGTCATTGGAGAGACAGGCCATGGCGGCCCTGCAGGACACAATATGGCATATGCTCACACCGTATAGCCCTTAACACATGCAGCATAATCAAGTTGCTAGTGAGAAAAGGTGCATAACGCTCAGTCAGACTACACCAACAGAACTTATACCACTTACAGCACAGCAAACAAGAATCAGCTCATCTTTGATTTCAAAACACATTTTATGAAGAACATCCCTTAGAAACACAACATTCCCTCGCTGTTGGCAACTGGAGGTAATTATAATAAATGAATAATACAGTAAGTGCATGTGTGGGTTTTATTTTTATTCTGTGTTGTTGTTCTATAGTACAGTCTTCTACAAATTTGCTTGAATGCCACTACACAGTGTTGTAATTCACAGAAGTGGAGGATAAGCATGGTAGCCGTCAGCTAGCATGATAACTTGTAATTAGAATCCATATTAACCACATACAATGCTGAAACAGTGCAACACATTGAGAACACAACAGATCTTCTCCACTTGTGTCGTCTGACATGCTAGCTCTATTTCTTCACTCACAATCTGTTTCCACATGCACAGGCAGCGGACATCTGAACACCCACCTCCCAGACAAACACACAAACACGTGTCTGCAAAAACACACACACACACACAAGCCACACCCTTCCCAACCAAGCTAAAATAACCCCCACAAACACAAGAGTTTGTGTGTGTGTTTGTCTTGGGAGAGGGATATTATTGTCTGTCTCTCCCCTGCTCCTTCCAAGTGCACTTTTCAAGGTGCTGGGCTTGGTATCACCATGGCAACAGCAAAGCGACTAGGAGCGGTGGGAGGGAGAAGGTAGTGGGCGGTGGGGAGTAGAGGTAGGGGAGAGGGGCGACAGGGGTGGTAATGGGGATGATGTTGATATGTTGAGGTCGGGGGGAGGTCCTCTGGTCACAGATAGGCATGCTGGGTACATAGACTTCGGAACACTGTGACATTTTCATGTGTCGCAATGATGAGGATGTGGGTGTGGCTTTCATTTAGAGTTGTTTGTGTGTGTGTGTGTGTGTGTGCACATCAGTAATGATGTCTGTGTGTGTTCGTACCCAAAGAGCCCCATGGAGATCTATGCACTGAGAGCCCAGGTGTGATCTCGATGCTTGGTGAAAGATGACCTCTCACCATACAACACACACACACACACACACACATACACACGCAGACACTCTCTCTCTCGCTCTCTCTCCCTGTCTATCTCAGCGGAGTGTCTGTGTCTGTGTTTGTTTAGCAGAGACCTCCAGGTATTATTGGACCGTGTTTACATGTGCATGTGTCCGTGCTGGCCCAGATATGTCCACCTCTCCTTTTTCTTTCTCTCCCCCCTCTGTTTCTTGATCTGACCTTTACTCCCCTGTGGTTAGTTTTGCCTGTCTCTCCATCTTTGTCTAACATCTAGTTCTCTATTTTTTTTCTAGCCTGATGCTCTATTTGGGTCTTCTCAATCTGAATTTTTTGTCACTTTCCATCCTACTCTTGCCTTCCCTCTGTCCTTTCCCCTATTTGTATCCTATCTAGAACCTCTGCAGGTGTGTCTCTCCAGGCTGTGATGCAGATGGAAATACCTACTGGCACTAATGTGTTTATAGCCAGGTTCAACAATAAAAAAACATCCACACAGCTTTAACAGTAGAGGGAGGATGAAACATGATATTTACAGGATTTGTAAAGGCGGACATTTGTCTATTTAAAATATTATTTTTTCTTGCTAGTTACATGTTGCAGGTTTGAAAAGTGGACTCGTCTTAGCCTAGGCAGATGTGGTGGACAGTAAACCCACTCTGATTTATGTTCAGTGTCTATGCAAGAAGTAGTGTGATGTTCATAGATAGATTGCAGTTAAAAGTGAAGTTGTGGAGGTCAGAGTAAAGGATGAGAACGAATTTGCCTTCAACACCAGGTTCATGTCATGTCTCAAACTAGTCGTGAACACCTACCACCTTTGTAATGACCTCAGTCTTTTTCAACCTTTATGAAGCAGTTTTATTTGTCCAACCTCAAATATTTAAGAAAAAATCATTGGCTATGAACCGTTTGCAGATACCTACAAGATCAACACACTGTCTGGTATATTGAAGAAAAACAAAATCACAAACTAAATGCATTTTGGTGATGCTAAAATTGTTGCAAATGCAACAATTACTTTGCAGGAGATTTGGTCGACTGAGTTTACATTCCATAACTGTATAAGTTATGTTAGAAAGAATAAACTGATCTAAGCTGAAAGAAATTAGAAGGTTGCCTTCAGAACAGCTTCACTCCTACTACGTTGCTGGCATACAAGTCCTGAATAGTGCGTAGTAAAATACTGGATGATTCAAGAGACGGAGGTGGAAATTTATTCAGTCTGCTTTCCAGAGCGTCCTGTAAAAGTTCAGTGATGATGTGGCAATTGAGGAATCCCTGGAGTTTCACTTTATTGTGTAGTTTGTGAAACCACTCCTAATTAAGGGGCATGGCCATCACAAAATATTAGAAAATTAGAATCAGTGTTGGCACCACAAGGTGAACCAATAGTGTACACGTCACAATCATATGTTTCTGAAAAGATGATTTTAAGTCGTACTTTGTATTTATTGCTTGCTGCAATATTTACTAAAACCAGAAAAACCAAAACAAGCTCTCACTCAAACGATACTTCTCTACAAAACATGCAAATGTGAAGATGTGACATTTATTGGGTCATTAGTGGTGGAAAACATGGTTGCAGTCACACTAGCAGCTCTGTGAGGCTGTATGCACAGTATTGCTATGAGCTTAATGCTAATGTGAGCATGCCAACATACTCAGAATGAGTACTATCATTGCAAAACCCACAGTTTTTCAGGCAGTACTGGCTCTTCTGAACCTTTCCGAAATTCGGAACTTTTCTGAGAAAACAAAAACACTAAGGAAAAGTGGAAAAACAGGACACCTTGCATAAAACATGTTTTGATTGAAGATTCTAATTTCATAAATGGAATTAGCCCCCCCAAAGATCAACTTTGTGTTCAGCATTTTGTTAAATGTCAAGATGGATTAGAGAGTAGAAGTTAATTTCAGGGCAACGTCAACACCAAAGAGATATCCCAAGGGTATCTCCACTGTCTAAGCTCATATTATCTTTTAAGTCATTATAACCACTGGGACGTTGATTCTATACTATTTGCTATAGTCACTGTTCAGGTTGCAAGCAAGCTACACTACGCTAAGCCAACTAAGAAGAAACATTACCTTATCCCATAATAAGGTTTTCATCACTTGACCTCTGCTCATTTCCTTTGACTACAAGAGCAGATAGGTTGTTGAAAGACAGTCTCCTAAAATTACTTTTCTATTACTTACTCTATGTGCAAAGACACATCAGCTTTAAATAGTGTTACAAATTGACTTCCGCTGAAGCATTTGATCAAATAATTAATTAGTCAATCAACACAAAAATTATTGTTTACAGTTTTGATAATAATTTATTAAGGACACATCAAGTATTAGCTGTTCTAAGTCTCTAAAACATGAGGATTTGCTCCTCTTCTCTCTTATCTCCTATTTGATTGTAAATGGAATATTTTTTTGTGTTTTGGTCAAACCTATTTGAAAATTTTACCTTGGGCTCTCGGAACTTGTGGCAGTGGTTTTTCCACTATTATCATTATTTTTCAATGTTAATCTAAACGATTCATTGATTAATCAAAGGAAATAATCAACATATTGAACTACAATAAAAAATGATTGTTAGCATGGTTGCACCCCTATATTCTGGACAGCTATCACTAAGATTTTTAGGACTTATTTTGACAAATAGGAATTAAAAGGAATTAAAACTTGCCCAGCATCGCATCTCATTTGTATTTTGACAGAGTTTAACCACTGTTCCATCACCACTCATTATAATGTCATAGGACAGCTGTCAGTTTGTCATTGTTTCTCATTTTGTGATTATTTTATGCTGCTCTGCTGCATCTTTTGCAGTTTTTGATGCCAGTTCAAAAGAGGCACTATTTTGCTACTGGAGCTCTTTTATTGCTTTGTGTTGCCTTGAAAATCTGGGTACAAAAGAGAAAATCAACAGAAACCAAAGACTATAAATAAAGTCAGAGCTTTTTTGAAGTTGACACACTGCTAATTGGGACTGGACAGATTCACCTTAATACCTGATTTTGGTATCACTTCAAAGATAGTCATTTGTCAGTTGTTTTATTATTATTTTACTTTGTCCCCATTATTACCCTGTTGTATTATTTTAAAAAGAAAAGAAAAGTAAAGTAAAACCATTTCTGAAATTATAATAGTTTATTGTTCACTTCAGTTGTTGGCCTTATGCTGCTCATCAGTGTTTACAACAATATAAGATTAGTGGTCAAGAGGGGTAAATGATGTGCTAAATGAGGGCAATGCAGGTTAGGGCTAGTAAGACCTCTCTTTTTTTCTGACTGTAAATTAGACCCTTGGGCCCTGCAAAACTGGGTGCGTTTCCGCCATTGAGCCACACGGGGCGATGCTGCTCACCCAACCCAGGACGCTTGTCGGGATATTCAAAGTTTATGCAGGGCTTGCAGCATATCAGGGACCGGCGGGGTGATAGTTCAACGGTAGTATTGACACCAGAAAGAGCGTCCAAGTTGCAAAGATCACTTTTGAGCGCGCCACACACACACAAACACACGAGGTGTGTTAAAGCGGCCAGCTCGTTGATTTCAATCCATTTCTTGTCGATGCGTGCGAGCTGTCAGTCAGTCAGTCAGTCAGCACGGCCAGCGCGCTCTCAGATATATCCTCTCATCTCTCCTGGCGAAGACACACGGGGAGTGTGTGGGCGCCCGGTGTGTGCGTGTGTGTGTGTGTGTGTGGAGTCTGTGAGTTGTCAAAGAGTGGGGAGGGGGGGAGCACGCACAGTGCGAGACAGGAGTTGAGAGAAAGAGAGACAGATTAGAGTTGAGTGAGTGGGAGAGAGAGAGAGAGAGAGAGAGAGAGAGAGAGAGAGGAGGAGAGCTCCGTCTCTCCCGGTGCACTTGGCAGTCTAGTTGCGGGCTGCTGTGCTGTTGCTGTCGTGGCGTGGCTGGTAGCGCCAGGCGGGGAACTTCACCACACTGGAGCCCGGAGTCCCACTCTCTCACCTGCGCAGTTCGGAGCTGCCATGGGTCTCTCGCCTGGATTTACTGTCCTAATTATTCTACCGGCCTTTCTGCTGCACACCAGCGGCCTCTACATCGCCAGTAGCGTTGGTATGTACAGTACAGTTAAGCGTGGTCAGTGTTTATGTTATTCTACGTATCTGCTGATCTCTTATCAGCAGGGCTTCACGGGGCGCTTCATGCGCTCACTGGAAGTCTGGAGCTCAGCGTAACGGCAAAACACTGTCCGGTTTCTCCCGCTTGTGTTTCGTTTTTGGCACGCTTTTGTAGTTTTTGCAAACAACATTGCAGGACGCATATGCAACTTCTGTGTCCTGCTGTGGTGTTTGCAGGGTCTTTCCGGAGGTCCCTCAGCGGTGCAAGTAGTGTTATGATTTGCTTTCTCCCATCCAGGGGATAATGTTATCAGGGGTGTAAAGGGACATCATACGCACCGGTTTACTGTCGGATTTTTGCAGGGAAGTAGCCTAACATTATCTGATTCGGCCGCTGTCGCATCTATCGATCTGTCACAGGACGCTGGAGTCGGATGTCAGCCTATTGATCACACTATTATCAAATCATTCCTCTAACACGGGGGCTGAAGAAATATAAACCATGTGTATTAGGTTTTACCAGTGAGCAAACTTTATAAATTAGACATGACAGATGGATCACTAAATAATAACAACAACAACAACAACAACAACAATAATAATAATAATACCAAGAGCACCACATAGCGATAGCACAACTGTCCCATGATGGCACTGACACCACAAAGTGGCCTTGGCTCAGTGTGTGTGTGTGTGTGTGTGTGTGTGGGCGCGGGGAGCATCTCTCAGGTCGCCGTCTGTGTTGTCACTGTCACAAGAGAAATGTTAGCTGTCAATTCAAAACGTGTATCCTTTGCTCAGAGTGCAGTGATTAACATGTGTAATGATTATTAATGATGATGATAGGATCACTTATAGCAAAATGCATTCCAGTGTGCATCATTTTAATTTAAAGCACTTTTATAATTTAAGTTGGAAGATCAGGGTTTTTTTTGGTCGGTGTCGAGCTTATAGAAATCCTTTTTTCTCATATCAAGCAGCCTGACAGTGAGACAACAGCTCGAGAAAGCCAATGGTGCAATTAGCACCTTGATCTTGTGCTGACTTTCCTATTGACGGTGGAGGGGCGCAGAAATTGTCAGGAGCGCAGCACTGCTGAGGCTGCCATTTCCAAACACGCATGGCTGAGCATGGGGTGGCCTCTGGGTTCATGGGTGGGGCTGTGTGTGTGTGTGTGTGTGTAGTAGGATTCTGCTTTTATTTCATTTTGGTTAACATTGTGTTCCTTACACAGAATAAGGAATAAATAATTCCATGCCATGCTTGACATTTTTCTAATCCCCTATTTTTCCTCCCACGTCTTTTTTTTCGTCCTCCTATTCACCCTCCACCCATGACTCCCCATTTTCTCCATTGTTTATCCCCCATTCTTTTCCTATGACACATTCTCCTCTCATGTTCTTCATTCCTACCCTTTTTCACGTTACTGACTAAATTACAACCTTTCCCTCTCTCACCTGCCCCTGCCTCATCATCTCCTCTTCCTCTCACCCGTCACCACCTCCTCCTTTCTTGAACCATCCTGTTCCCAGGCTCCCTGCAGCATGTCCTGGGGGAGTATGGACTGGTGAGACCGATCAGTGTGGACGCAGAGGGCCGCTTCCTGTCACACGCCGTCTCGGCTGGCCACATGGCAGGAGGGCAGTCCCGTAGGCGCCGGAGGAGGGAGGTAGGAGTAGGCAATGATGAGTGGGAAGAACCAAGAGCAGAGCCTGTGGCCCCTCGGGAAAGGCTTTACTACAACGTCACCATCTTTGGCCGGGAGTTTCACCTGCGCCTGCATCACAATGCCAGGCTGGTGGCCCCCGGAGCCAAGATTGAGTGGCGTGATGACAATGACAGCACTCGGCACGCCGAGCCACTGCACGATGAATGCTTATACGTGGGTGACATCACAGATACACCAGGAGCCACTGTGGCTATCAGCAACTGCGATGGCCTGGTGAGTGGACAATCTTTATTACCTGTGTTGTGCTCTCATCTTTCTGACTGCTGTATTGTTCCCTGAGCACGCTGTCAGGGTGTCTGTGGACAGAATGACGTGAAGGGGCGCAAGAGTGTAGATGATGCATGTCTTGAGTTTGTAGGGGAAGTCTCTTTTTAAAAATCTATGTAAGAGAAAATAGCAAAAGCAAGAGATTTTTGCCACTTGACCATGTCACTGTCCCTGGTGAAACGCTTTGGGTTGACCCCATAGCTTAGAAGCTGTCATGGGGTCAAACTTATGATTTATACTGTTGTTCAGCCGTATGTCCTCTAAACTGGTTGTTCCATCAGGCCTGCCATGAGAAATACCTGAGTCATGTTTTCATCCCTATGTCCTCTGCCCATTTTAGTTCACTCATGTTAAAGGGGGGAGGGATTATTAAAGGAATACACTGATGTTTCACAGACAACCTCAGTATTTATCTCAGCACAATGCCAGCTAAATGCATAAACATTTAGTAGGCTTGCACTGCTCACTACACATAGACACAGAAGTACCAGACAAATAGCTGACCCTACGACAGCATTTGAATTGAAAGCGCCACCATATAATGTTTTGGTTGCACAACAGTTGCTCAAAGAGCCTGAATTGTAGATGCTTTTAATAGAGCTGACGGTGAATAGAGATAAAAAGGAAAAGAGATGGCAAACAGTCGGTGGATGGCTGTCGGCAAGGGAGAGAAGTGAGATTTAGACAGTGTGAAGAATGTGCACAGGAACCGCTGAGATGAGAGGATGCAGAAAGATGGAGAGCAGTGCCCGAGGAAGAGGTGGAAGGGACAAGTGCGAGAGATAAGCCATGGGGCAGAGGAAAAAATGAAAGTAAATAGGAGCAAAAATGGGCAAAAAGGATGTGTACAGGGAATGATGAGATTGGGGGGAGGAGTTCCCCTCATTAGGAAAAGTATTCATAGTCAGCCAGATCAGCCCACCACTGGAGCTGAGTATCAGCGACTGGATCCGTTTAGAGTTGAGGACACAGGGGACTGAGCAAGCCGCTGAGAGAGCAGGCAGGGAGCCAGGACAGCACAGGCCTGACATGCCCACTTAGCCTGACACCAGCCAGCAGCAACTCACTGCTGCTGCTTCTCTGGCCTGTCATTCCAGGGCCTACTGCTAATTTCTAGGAAAGGTTACTGTCAAAGTATATGGTTACAGACAACCAATGAGAATTTAGCATCAGTCACTAGTTTGTTGAGTGGCTGACTGCACCACCAGGTATGTCGGGATTTTTAAGGATATGTTCACATGTTTTCGACTCTGTGTTATGTAAAGTAATACTCACATGCCTGTGTGTACATTGAAATACTTTTTGTTTGCTGTAATCATTCCTCCTGTCGACTTTGGCCGCAAAGAGATCCCTTCCTAATGTGATTGCAGTTTAAGAGATGGGGCTCTTTATCTGCAGAAATGCATTCTTAAAGGCATCCTCTAGAGTTTTTGGTCACTAGTAGAACTATGAAGCAATGTTGCACACGCACATGGATGGACATGCATGCACACGAGTATAATAATGATTTAAATAACCAGCTTTACAAATGTTTACAAACACATTTGACAGGCCCTTAAGAATGCACACAATGCATTTTGCTGAAAAGACCAAATGTAAACCTAACTTTTTTTGTAAAAAAAACAAAACAAAAACAGCTTTAAGTGCAGTAAAGCTAATATGGGACTTGAGCAATCAGAGTGGTTATCTTCCAAAGTTATGGTCTTTTTACTGCAGAATTTTCTCTTTATTTTACTCTCCACCGCAGCTCAGCAACAAAACATTGCCAGAAGAAACAAATTCCATACTAAATGGAATGTAACTTACGGATGAAAATATTCACTTTATTTGTTTAACTGAGACTGCTGAAGTCTCATACCAACTTCAGTTAAACTTAATAATAATACATTTTTGCACAGAATAAGGAATTTGTCCCCATTATTAACATCAGAGTTGCATTAGAAAGGGATCTCTTCAGAGCCAGTATTGACTAGGGATGGGTCGTAATTTTCAAAATTAATGACTAAATTATATAAAAAAAAGAAGAATACTTTAAGGCAAGGTAACGTGTCACTACAAGGCATCAGTGAAACGTGTGTATGGCACGTTCAGTTTGGCTACAGCGCTGTGAGACGCTCAGTTTGCAGCCTAAATAGTGTTAAGGCTGAGTACAGTAAAGACAGCTTACAGTATTAATGCCACCACAACGTGTTTCTACCATCCTTCATCAGCTGAATGGAGTGGACCTTATCTTGAGACTGGTCAAATAGGTCCATAGTATGTCTGCTTAAAATGCCCATCCCTAGTATGGACAGAAAGAATGATCACCACAACCAAAAACTGTTCCAACATAGCCTACATATGGTCTTGTGAGTATGTATTTAAAATGTGAACCCCTTAAAATCATGTTTCTAGAAATAAGTGAAGTAAGAATGTTACTGAGGTCAGTGCTGTAGTAGTTAACCCAACTTGTGATAACAAAAAAACCCTTTTAAATAATCACATTAGTGCTGTCCACTTGTATTTAATTTGTTTCTTCTCGCCCCTGAACAACTCATGTCATTACTAATCAATTCTTACAACCTACTCAGGCATGCCAAGGAATACAGCCAAGCTCTGTCAGGCTACCTAAGCAATGCCCGTGTCTGCCTTTTTAAACTCGGCAGAGCCACGTAGCCCAGCTCTGCCCTGCTGTGCCCACTTCCTCAGTGACCCAGACACCTGGTTAGAGCCTTCTCTGCCCTGTGTTGCTATTCACAGCCAAGAACCTCTTACTGGCTGTGATCCAGGGAGTGTGATGAGGGGAAGGGGGAAGAGAGCCAAGACAGGGGCAGATAGGGTTCAAACCAAAACACATACAACTAATAATAAAGAGGCAGAGGAGGGAAGATGAAGAGGGCAAAGGGTATAGATTTCAAGAAGTAGCAAATGACCAGAATAAATAAGAGAGGATGGGAGAGCACAGGGAAAAATGAAAATCTATGAATGGACAAATGACCTTTGGAGAGAATTGGATTTCTGTGAACAGAAGCTGTGATCAGCTGGTTAGTTCTCTGGATGGTTGAGAGGAGGCAGCACACTATACAGTATGAGAGCTATGAAGTGCGTTGTGTGTTTGTGTGTGTGTTTGTAGTCCTAGATTGGTGCAGTGCAAAATGAAATTAAACTGTAGCTGAGACGGTGATTCTGTGTTTGTGTATGTGTGTGTGTGTGTGTGTGCACACGCAGAGGGCAGAATGGGGGACTGCATGAATCAAACAAAACAAAAACTCAGAAGCTTAAGAGGTTTCCACTTCATGCACAGATGTCGGTGTGTTCAGTGTTTTTGTGTACATTTCCTTGTGGCTTTGAAATTGTCACTGACTAAGAATGACAAGACATGTCACAGCACAGGTGTAAAAAAAAAAATGTAAGTAACGGTGGCTGAATCCCATTTAGTTCCTTAGGTTTCAGGGTCCTGTTTTTGTGCACGCTGCCTATGACACATCAAAATGTCTGCTGTGAAAATAGCTTTTTGGTATACTCATGATAACAGTGCCGGTAACCTGCCGGGATCTTGGTTCCTGAACTTGGGTTCCATGTGAACGTGTCAGGTGAGGCCAGGTGCATTCATGTGTGTGTGTCTTTTTGGGATCTTATGAGGAATGTGAGTTAGCAGAGCTCCTGCTTTTCCTCTTTCTTGTAGAGACAGAGAGTCATAGTGATGGGAGCTCAAGGGTTACAAATTTTTTGAAATTTCATTTTTCCATCAAAAGTAATGCACTGTTTATTTTTCATCATATCAAAACAGTGGAACTTGTCTATTTGACCTTTTTTTCTTCTTGCCTTCTACTGTTTATGAGCCCCTTTTAACCAGATCACAGTAAGAGCATGTTCTCTAAGCACACTAGTAGGCGCCTTCCTCACCCAGTCATCATGGCGTAGGGGTCTTGTCCTTCAAGTAGCCGAAAAAACAGACAGAAACAGATTCTGCTGATTGTGATTAGTATGATATGTGACCATTTCTAAACTTTGAATGCTCAGCATGCACCAATGTGACCCAGCAAAAGTTTAAAAACGAGAAACTGGGAAATGTATGACTAGAAGAAGTTACTAAAAGTCTTAAGTGTTCTCATCCTCCACCAAGATATACTCTCCAAGCCATAAACAGACACAGATATATGTACAGCCATATTGCGAAGCAAATCAGATGACACATAAACATGTACTCTCATTGTAGTGCTGCACATCCAGATAGCTATCTGAAGTGAGAGGTTTCCAGCCTTCCACATGTTGTCACAGCACCTGAGATAATCAGTGAGTTGTGACAAATGGTAGGGCAGCATCAGGTTACCGTGGGAACAGAGGGCCACACAGGTGTATGGAGCCGATAGGTGTGCACGCAGGCCAGATGTGAGATCCAGCTGGGTGAGTGATCTTCATGTCTGAGAGTTTTTAACAGAGGAAGTGTGTTGCCTGTCATCGTGGGGTTTACTCCTAATATTCAGGTAGATACACACCTGGATGAAAAGACACATGTTGCCACAGCTGTGATGTGCACTGCACACCTTGGCACATCCATGCAATAAACATACTGCACACCTTTGCTGAAGTAGGAATCATGGGCTCCGACATACCTGATCATACCTACAGTTTGGTCAGACATTGGCTCAGACTCAGGGCGGTGACAGACAGCAGTGAAAAAGCAAAGTTCCCCTGAGTCGTCTTTACCTCGCTACATGAAAAAAAAACCTGTGCGCACATTTCTCTTTATTTGTCTCCACCCCTTGCTTCTCTCCCTCTTTTCTCTTGCTCTCTCGGTCTCGTGTTTCTTGTCCAGCAGTGGTAACAGCAAGCAGTAGAGCTCTCCTAATGATTGTATTAAAAGAGTCAGGGAAATGACAGAGAAACGGAAATAAAAAGAACGTGGCAGACAGCTTTTTGCTCCCCAACACCCACAGATACAGAGTTCTGGCAAAAAAAAAAGG